CAGCAACAGCAGGACGTGGTAATTACGGCCTGTGAGCTCCAATGCCAATGGGATCGCGCCATATGACGCACACCCTCCAGCACTCTCGTTATCGTATTTCTCCAACATCCACCATACATTTTTAGGAACTCTGGGGAGCATAGCGGTCTAGTGGTATTTCGGGCTGATGATAACAACGCAAATGAAAGAATATTGAAATGAAATGCTTTATCTAAAGTCTGGTTTTGAGTGACCTCTATATTCTTGCGCATATCGTTATTATCGGCCCTTATCAGCCGTTATCACTTTCTTTCCCCACCAAATATGTTCCCGTCCCACCCCCTACATCACTTCTTGGAACCAACGCCTCACTGATGCTGGGACGCGCGCTATGGATATCGTGAAATTGGCGTTTTGGCGCCTCTTATCGGATCTTATCAGTCGTTATCACTTTGTGTCCCCCACCAAATATGTTCCCGTCCCACCCCCTACAACATACTTAAATACAGCGCTCCACTGTTGCAGCGAAGTGTGCTATGATTTCGTGACAAACACACGTACAGTAGTATGATCATTGGTTCAAAAGTACATGTTGTGGCATTTTCTCCTAGTCTTCAATTCACGCGTTTGTCCAAGGACGTATTTCCAGCATACGATCTGCAGAGCGCTGACGATGTTAAGGAATGGTGCGCTGATGGCAGCAAAATTGTTCGATGATTCAATTCAGCACCCGATTTTCATGGGCGGATTTGACATTACACCTCTTACCATGCGCACGGTCTAGGATCAAATTCTGGGTCGGATCCCACGCGGACCAGCGCTGCCTTCCACACTTCCGAGATCTGTCAAGAAACTAAATTGTCCGGTAGGTTAAAAATACTGACCCCTCACGATCAGTGACTGCGATTTGAGTTGAAGTAGAAGTATTGGCGTATCCCAAAAACGAGTGGATAAACGTTATCATTTTTCCAAATCCCCTGCGAAAGAAATTAAGAAAAAACCATAATCCCGGAAGCAGAATATCGACAATGAATTTTTGCGCTAGCTGACGCTTTAAAGGACGAATTCACGATGAAAAAGCAACCCATTTCAAATTAACCTAGGGATGGTGAGTGGTACACGAAAGAAGGAAGAACCATGAGAAACGGCCCAGAACCCGAGAAATGGGACCCCTTCCTTGCCCGTTGATTTCGAGCATTGATGCGACTCTCATCGCTGTGCCCTCTTCAACACTACGCTCTCTCAGCTATCTAATCACTCGCCACGTATTGAACTACGGCGAGTGATCAGATGATCGGTGGGCGGAGATCGCCGGACCCGCCAGCTTTGAGGCATGATAGGTCGCCGAGGTCAAATTTTTCCATGCGAATTGCGCGTCAGTTCGCACCCTCAGGAGGTCCGTGGGTCCCTCAACTAGGTCAGTTTCCCTTTCTTAAACCTTCATTCTAATCCTTAAAGAGCATATGGAGGTCATCACGAGATGAACGACATAAAAGGAGGAAAAGGCTCAAAGTACAGTAGAGGTGATCCAGTTTTGATCCGCTTGACACGCTTTCTACAGCAAAATGGTCCGCAATTTTTTTTACTACGCTCAATTCCCTTGATCACATCTGCAGAACTCTACGCGAGGTTGTTAGGTAGAATTGAGTGGTCGGCGTTTTGCGAGATCGGCTTCTTCAGGTCTGAACGGTTGAGAAGCATTATCAATTATCTACCGCTATCATATAAAAATCGAAGAGATCTCACCCGCATCGTAAGAAGTATCACTCACATTACTTATTCCGGTCCTCAAAACCACCGAAAATTAGTAGGGACAAGTAGCAATTCGGGCCGTTCTTGTTACAAATTTTGCTGACAGCGTCCGGATCATTACTGGTCCTACTACTGATTTTGGGTGGTCTCTGACGACCTGGAATGAAATGCGATAGATGGTCCATCTTACTGCCGTATTATGGCCATTGGTCTCAAGTTTAAGTAGGGTTGTGAGCCTTCTGGCAAGGTTTCATTGATACCTCCATTAAATTACCACCTTAGAAAGGCTTTCGTCGAAAGTAAGCCAATTAAGCCGCCCAACAACGCGAAGTTTTGCAGGAAAGCAACCATTATGTCAGGCCGAGGTTCATAGGAACTCTCAGAAAGCATGCTTGGGGCAGTTTGAACTTTAAGAAGAATCGTAGGCTGCCTAGCAACGCCTCGATGCCGATCACAGAGACTTTCCTTCCAGAAAGTAGGAGAGCAGTAGTGACTCTGATATCTGCGCAATGCAACGACTGACTCTCTATTGGGTTGGAGCATAATTTCGTCAGCGTTTCATTTTTCGAGCTACCAATTCAGTGAATACAAGTATTGACCACAAACTATATTTGATTTGAAAGTGCTTTTTCCGCTCTACAATACTGTGCTTGTTTTTCTTCTATACTGTAAATGTGCTCAGCTTATGGCTTAGAATTTGAAAAAACCAAGGTGGGCGAAAATCTATGTAAAGAAAAAAGCTGCCGAAATAGGAGTCTCGAAGTCCATCGTCATTGTCGAACGTCCAGTCGGCCCTCATTTCCAAGTCATATTCACGTTCACATTGAGAATAATGTGAAACTCCGAAACGGGCTCAGAACCTTTTTTATTTCTAAACCCGGTAATTTCTTGCGAAATGGAACCAAAGTCGTAAATAATGACGAGAAGAACATCACTGATCAGTTTTATGCTTGGCTTTGCTTTTGGGTTTTGCTTTGAACGTTTTTGCCAAATGCGAGCGCTACGATATTATGCTCCACCCCAATATATGAAGGTGACCCGGTTGGCTTTTATGGAATTTGAATCATTGATTGGCCCTTAAACTTTTCGCACAACGAGTGGCACACTTGCAGCAACTACACCACCTCTACCACGAATCGATTGAATCAAACAATATTTCTTGTAGTTCGTAGTGTGAGCCCTAAACAATACAATGATGATCCAGGACTCGTTTTTGGTGTTGTGGGAGGTGATAATAGGGCCGGCAACCACTGCCTTCTCTTCAGAACACGCTATCTGTTTTGATGTGTGAAATCAAAGAAGACGTGTACAGAGGGCATTCTTTTAGCCTTCTGCAGCAATCGTTGCGGCAATTGCGTCACAAGGTCGTTGAATGATGTGCTTGCGTCGCTAATCAGCAAAACGATTCGTCATCTTGTAGACCACGTGGAGGCGTTTTTCGCCCGAAAAGGGCCACTGTTCGAGTAGGCTGTGACAGTTTTCGATAGAGAAGAAATCGCAAGAATTCTTACCTTTCACGGACGGAAATCCAGGAATCTTCTCATACGGTAAAACGACCGGATCTTCCACCTGATCTCCTATTGGTCCAAGTCCAGAACCACAAATGATTCCGACCTCGACGTCAGCTTTTGAACCCAGTTGGCTTCTTATGGCGTCAGCTACCATCAGCAGATCATCGTATGATCGTGGGCTGGAAAGTTTATAGGAATAATCTATGTAGAATGTTCCTCTGACAAAATCACTCACTTGATGGTCCGTCGCAGAGGATCATGGCTCTGTGGCTCTTCGAGATCACCTTCCATGATCTTTTCAACATTGTTGTTATTATTGATGACTTCCATTCCTGGAAACGTGCCTCTTAACAGAGAAAAGCTCGAGAAAGCTCTGAACAAGACGGAAAGAGCGCAATGAGTGAGCGGATACAAAAGCATATGAAAGGCAACATTAAAACGAAGATCAACTTGAGAGATTACAAAGGGAATGCGATGGAAGGTGCGATCTCGACGCCAACACTGCGGAAAGCTGTCTTTCTGAAAACTGCCCCGTCAGAAAACTGTCAAGGAAACACCAGTTAACATTAAAACTGATAAAAGGGGTGCTATAACAGAAGCGATAAAAGGCGATTACGTGTGAAAGAGGAGTAGTTTTTCAATTGTCAGGAATTGATGACTGATTCAGGGCACATTGTCATGTATTGATTTCAAAGTGAGGAATCAGAGAGCCATGAATGGAGTTCCCAAGGAATTTTTGAATAGATCCAAGTTTTCAAAAACTTCTAACATTTCCTCGAAGGAATCTCAAGCTCTAGCATAAGACGGGATCGAGTTTGTGTGCTCTATTGTTTGCAAATTAGGCACAAGTGCCAACAAGGAAGCTAGATGTAAACGGTAAGCGAATGCACTAGACATGAAAAACATTAAAAAATTCCCCTTATGAGGCCGGCCGCGGTGTGACGGAAAGACAGTGATGCAAGGAAACGAAAGACACGAGAGAGCACTTTGTACGCGATAGGGCGCAGACTCCAGGTGTGCTGCGGTTGATAAGGATGGCAGCACTGCAGCACACCATGGAAGGCCTTAGCGCCGTTGCCTGGCACTTTTGAGTTACGACAGTGTCACACCTCCTGCGCCCAGGAACCCCTCTTCCTCACTCTAAGAGGGACGGGCTCTTGAGAGCTGATCCGACTCATCGGCTTTTAACCCCTTTTCTTATCTGTTCCAGGATTTTAGTGCCGAATTCTAGTCAAAAATCCCCTTTTCTACACTCCCACTGAGGAAATCTCTGAACGTTGGATTCTTGCTTGATTGCCACCTGCCAATGAAAGGCGTGCTCTACTTCCACTTATTTGCAAAAACTCCAGATTAATTTCATCCAAACCGCAGTTCCATACTCTCTATATGTTTCTAGGAAGTAATGCTAGCCCCTGAAATTACGCAGTAATAACATCCATCTTGCAGTCAATAAGCTGCGGAACCTGCTGAGGTAAAAATATGACACTTGAAAAATAGCCCTCATATGACTGTTAAGTGTTCTAATGCTCACACGTTCTTACATATGCTACTACGGGCTTGGATTAGGTAATCTATCGTGGCGGCTTTTTCAACAACCAGGATTTTAGTCCAGGCGAGAAAACGATTAAAATGCTATTCAGGCCAAAAACGATGTTTAAGGATATAACCCTAAGAGCGTGGTCACCCAATACGGGCCCACAAGAAAATGCTTCTAACCATTCTTTTCTTAAAACCGGTGATTCCACGGATAAAAAAGTCACGATTCTCGGAGACGATCCACGCTCTAACACTGGCCACCAACGCATCCAGCTCATCCTAAAATTTGTTCGTTTGCCAGTTTTTCAACGTCTGATTGAATTGCTAGTCTGTAGGAGCTCCGCTCGGTAGATGTGGCGTTTTAAACTTCTTGAACGATCCTTCGTCTTGGGTTTTGCTAATTGCTCCCTCGCTGAGAAGTTTGATGAGATCGCGGAATGGCCCCGCCGCCTTCTAACATTTATAGAAGTAGTAAGCATGTGTGGTGAAGATGAGGACAATTTCCGATAAGCATTTCTGTTAATGGAAGAAAGAAGAATATTCTCATGAAAAAAAAAACTCAAAAACGCCAATCTTCTCGAGAAAAGAAATCGCGCGAAAAAAGCCGCCAATAATTAATGCATCAACGCTAATTACACTAGGCCTGGTGATATTCTTTGTATAAAAATTTTGAACCAAACCACTCCATTTCTGATTGTTACCTGTTCGTTTTCACCAGTAAAGACAACTTCGCCTGAGAAAGTAAAGAAGTGCAAGTCACTTCGCCCTATGTGGGGGATCGATCTCGATACCTAACTCATTTAGCAAGTGAATAATTTTAGTATCGGGGTTGAATTACACCACCAGGGTAATAAACCGCCTCTCAAAGAATATCTTGGCAGTGCTTTCAGTTGCTAATTCAATGCCCATCCGGCTCACTCACGGCCAGCATACGCTGATGCGAATCTATATGGGGAATACGCCTTCGAAAGCTGGATTAAGAAAAAGCGGTGCTCTGATGGTACAATCGCAAACAGAGCCACTCGGAAGGCGCGAGGTGCGGGTTCGTTTCCCGCTTGATATGAGATTGGCGCTATCGCAAGATACGGGGACATTGTGAAGTGCATTTGAAATCGCGTAAAACATGTCCTTTAAAAAAACAGGACCAAGTCTTGGACGGGGAGGAGAGACTCTGGGATGCGTCAGTCATTTTCGTTCTCCTCGGAATTCCTGCCCCTCCTCCTAGACTCAGTCCTAGAGTATGCCCTTGTATATTGCGATAGCCCCGAGAAGGCTTTATGCGAATGCTTACCGAGTCGGTTAACTGGAACATATTCTTTGACTTTTTGGCCTTCGACGCTCATGACTGCTTACAGCCAACTGCCCACCCTAATTGCACTAAAATAATTTTTAGTTATCTTCGAAATTGAACAGTTACTTGGAATTACATGTCAAAATAACTCGACTTGATAACGCGCTCGCTCCTGCTCCAATCTAGCAAATGCTTTAAAAAGGCTGTAAGCTTTTTTTTAAAGTTTCAAGACTCAGCCAACTTGGCGACTGTGTGTAGCTGATGGGAGTTTATTAGAGTGACCTTACTGAGTCACATTAATGATAAATCGTTTTCTTGAAGTCTTGAACACCAGAAAACAATGACTGTGCACTATCGGAGCTGTTCAAATGCTCCATCACCCAAAGTCCAAATTTATGGTTGGCTGAGCTTGAACAAATTCAAAATCCACCAATTGTAGCATTCCTGAACTGCTATCAGTTGAAATGCCGCATATCGACGCTTACCTGGCAGGGAGTTCGCAGCAGGTTCTGTAAGAGCATTACTAAGCAACACTCCCCTTTTTGAACGTATAGGGAGCCCGAAATTTATTGGCAGTTTGATACTGTGACACACTCTGGAATTTTATCAGAGCTCAAGCAGAAGTTCAAATGTAATGTCGAACATCGAGAACCAGCCGTGCTCAATAATGAGGATGCGGGTAAAAGCGGAAACAACATCGCAAGGCAAACCACAAAGAACTTTGAGATGGTCGTATGGGCGGGGTTGGCGCTCCGCCCTGCATAATTCTCATTTGTTTCCCGTTACTCCGGAAGAGCAAAGTACGGTAAATTCAATTTCGTATTGAAAAGCCAACAACCATTCATTCTTAGAGCGGGCCTTTCAAGGCGACTTTCACGATGGAAAGGCAGCCCATTGGAAATTAAGTTAGAGATGTTCACTAGCACACGAAAGAAGAAACCGAGAAAAATAGTCCAGAACCCGAGAAATGGACCCTTCTTTTGCCCGTTGATTTGCGCATTGATGCGACTCTCATCGGTGCTGCCCTCTTCAACGCTAACGCTCTCTCTTAAACGGCTAGAGACTCAGACACGAGACGACGCGAGAGGGGGCGACCTCGCCAATTGCGCACCAACTGCGCGGCGCGGAAGGGTATGCTAGATCGCCGAGGGCATATGCTTCGATGCGAACTGCGTTTCGGTCGCACCACTAGACGGTTCACCTCCATTAAGTGCTCCCCCTTCTTCGACCTTTGTTCTTATCGTGAAATCCTCCTTTAAAGCGAGGGATTACGATAAGATTGGACTGGGTTCATAGTGGAAGTGGGGATGCTGAATAATGCCCCAGTGGCGAAAAAAGCAAAGAAATCCGTCAAGAAGGCGCAAAATGGGACCCCTTTCTTTGCCCGTTGACCTCCGATAATGGACGAGCTAGCAACCAATTAAGAGGTCGTTTGCACATGTTAAACGATAGCCACCATCATCCCAGCAAACGACGCGCTTTGATTGAGAACGAACTCCATAGAAAAGTTGTAGGATGCGCGCTCAAAGTGTCCTACCTTATCAAAATGATAATCAAACAATGATGCTGCTAGCAACGAACTGATGGGCGGAGCACAGGCGGGGAGGAGCTAGAAAGATGACAGTCCAGTGGGCAGAAACAAACGCTGAGAAACTATAAGGCCAAATTCTGCATCCTCTGGTTTCAAACAACTGCCTCCTGTAGTGCATGCGCTACACTTCCATGCTGCACATACCCTTATTAGTATCCGTCATATCAGAGTGAGGTTCGACACTATCGCGTGCTTGAAGAATTTCCAACTTGGTTGTCATAATATGACGTCGACCTGGGCGAACGGAAATACAAAATTATACTATTTCTCTGAAGTAACACGTCTACAAAAATGAAAGGCGACAAAACAGTCTGAAAAATCGTCCTCCGCCGTCATGTGAAGGAAAGGAAAATGGCTGGAGCAGCAGTGAATATCAGTCCACAGTTTTTCCAGCGGTTATGAAAAAAACTCAGTTGATCAACGAGTCATCAAATTGAATGTGAAACTGTACAATGCATAGACGCCTTGTGACATAGTGATAGCTGGGAAAGAAGTGTTGAACGTGCTCTATAACACCATACCTACCGAATAGAACCACGTGGTTGTGTTCTTGCCCACCACAGCGCAGTAGAAATCAAGGTCAGTTTCAGTGTGGTCGTCGGAATGATTGACGAAGTTGCCACCCCATGCCCCAGAGAAAGAAAACGGAATTGTTAACGACCGCTCTAGACAGTATCACGCTAACAGACAGGGCGGCGCTCATCTGCGAGGAGAACCCCACTCGCTACATATTAGTGTAGTGAAAAGGGCACGGACTGTTAAGACGTAAGACGGGCGAATGTCTGCAGCCTTTTGTATCAATGAACAATTTTAGCGAAAGAAAACGTCGAAACGACACTGAATACAAACGTGAAAGCCAGCCACGATGGATCGATCACTGTTTTTGTTTTATGCATTAAAAGAATTCTCAGT